CCTAATCCCAGAGTGTCATAAACAAAATGTAAACCATTCTGATTAAATTACTTACCTTCTGCCAAATGTGTGCTGATTTGCCTTTTGGTTATGTAGAGCTTATTCTGGTTACATTGGTTTTGCTTGTTTTTATTGTTTGTTTGATGCACCTTTCCTCTACTGCTTACTTCGTGGCTAAGGCATAGATGCTAACCAAAAACAATCAATATGAGCAACTGGTCTTCTGTTGCAAAAAATATTATTTTCTGAAGTGGTTAAAGAACTATTTCCCTTCTTCCACATCCTATTAATATTTTCCCTTTTACTCAGAAAAGGTAACTTCCTAACAAAGAGGTCTTGACAAAGGCCTATTCATCCTTGCATGTACATTCCTAATAAATAAAATATGATGGAAAGAGATAGATTAGAGAAGCCTGAATCTACAGTGCTGAGAATTACTATTTTTCTAGGCGTTGTACCTATCATAGTATCAGAGTAGTAGGGCTTGGTGAAGATCCCACCTAATCCAACAAAGCCAAATGAATATAACACCTACTCAAATCTAGAAAATGGATAAGATCAAATTTCACTTTTAAGGGAAAAGAATTTCAGAGGCTATGTCAATTTCTAATTACCCCAAGAAGAAAATCTATGCACACTAAATAGTCACAGTCACAACCACAGAGTCCCTAGAAAGTAGGACAGGTCCCTTGTTTAACCAAAACTTCCTAACTTCAGTTTAAGGAAAAATATGTAAATTGTCTGCTATATTTGTTCATCATCATTAGCATGTCATGAAGCAAGACTGAATCTAAATCGTCCTATATAAATGCCCCTCCTTCTGAAGCTCTTTGAAAAGGGGAATCCTTTCAACTTCCACATAAATGTTAGTTTTTAGTAAACCATTGTTTCAAAGTATTTTTTACAGAGAAATACTGACACATACAGGAGCAGCAGCTTATCAGAATATTAAGAAGGTAGACAGAAACTGGTTTATAAAGAAATTAGTAAAATAGCTACCTACACCAGTGAAAATACACCTAACAACTTCCAGCTGCAGTTTACATCTCTTTATTCTTGTCTTTGTTGCCATTCATAACAATGATGTTTAGTCAATAATTCCTAAATTTCCAAGAGGGTCATGATATTAACTTCTCATTAGAGTTCCTCTCCTTTTTGCACACTCCAACCGAAACCTATAGGTCACAAATAGCCCAGGAAACATAGATAATTCAGATCTACAAATGTGGCAGCACTCATTGATAAACTCCTTGTACTTGGGTTTCGCTTAACAGGGCACATATCAGTTAATATGACATTAAATCAAACTAAATATATGAGTGCAGAGAATGGCAATTGCAATGAATAGAAAGTTTCTCTGTCATGTTTCACTTATAAATAGGTTAACCTTATCCTAACAGGTAAGTTTCTAAGATGGTGAATGGAATCAAACATAAATTTCTACAACAATTCATTTTGCAGTTTCAGAAATATCTAAATGTAACCATTTAGTCTTGCAGCCCTTCACCTCTCCTATGTGTATACCATTGTAAACAGATGCAAAAATACCCAAGAAGAGATCACTATGCAGATAAATCCTGCACAGAATCTTTCTTCCTCTTCTCCTCCTTATGGAAATCCTGCTACATTCTTCAAGATCAAAATCAAAGAACATATCCTCCAAAAAAACCTCCCCATATGGGCCTCTACCCAAGTAATCAATAGTCCCATTTTCACCAGAACATTTTACTCGTATTTCTAATACTTGTACTAGTTCACCCTACTTCCTAATAAATATGTTTATATGTCTCCAACTGTAACAGCCTTTGCTTGGTCTTCATTATTCATATATTAAGAGTACACTATTTCTGAATCACAGACGGCACCTAATACATCTTACACACATTAAGGCAAGAGATTAATTACCACATCATTTCTCATAACAAAAGTTTGGTCCTTCCCAAAACTTTTTTTTCATTAACGACTTTAAGGAATAGGTTAAAAATAGGATCCCTCTTTCTCTGCCACCAAATCAGCCCCTATTTCCCAACTTTCTTATTTCTCCCAATGGCAAAACCAGAGACCTTAGAGTCTCCTGTATGTGTTCTATCACCTGCACTGCCTGCCTCTTCCATTAATTCCTCCACAATACCTTTTGCATTTGTTGCCAGTACCAACATTGTTCTTCTTTTGTGGAGGCTGAGAAAAATTAAGGCAATTCCACCTAAAGTTTAGCATTAGCACAAGTACAGCCATCTTAGGCCCCTGTGAATAAGAGCTGAACTTTATGGGAAAAACTGCAGAATGTCTTCAATGTCCTCGGCAGGGAATCCCATATCAGAAAGACAACAGAGCTCAGAATTGCCCTCCACAGAGAATCCCATATCAGAAAGACAACAGAGCTCACACCCATGGTAGAAAGTCCCATATAAGAATGAGAACAGAGCTCAATGCCCTTGAAAGCCCCATATCAGAATGTAAACAGAACTTGAGAAATTCCTCCACCCCTTCTGAAAATCCCCTAGACCAGCCTATAAAAAACCCAGCTGTAACCCACTTCGGGGTCCAAGTCCCTGCTCCGCTGTGTCGGGTATACTTGGACCCAAGCTCAAGTTTACTAATAAACCCTCATGCGCTTGCATCGGTGTTGGCTCCTTGGTGGTTTCTCGGATTTGCAATCTTGGGCACAACACAACAATTTGTAGGTGACGTGATTATGTACAAAGAAAATCCTACCTAAGTGCTAAGAAATCAAAAACAATGATAACATCAAAAAATAATAAAAAGCTACTACAACTAATAAATAAGCTTAACACAGTTAAGGAATACAAGGTTAATAAACATTAAAAAATCAATTGTAATTTTATATACTAGAAAAGAGTCATGGAAATGTCAGAAATTCAAGTTTTAAAATGTCACTTAATGTAATCATACATCAGAAAAAATCGGGAATAAACTGAAAAGAATGTTCAAGACCTGTCTCCTGAAAAGTACAAAATATCCACGAGAAAAGTTAAAAACCTAAATAAATGTATAGATATACCATGTCCATGGATTGGATACTCAATATCAAGATGTCCATTCTTAAATGTGTACATTTAAACAGTCCTATTAAAACACTAGTAGGTTCGTTAAAAAAAACAAAATTATAAGCTGATTCTAAGATGCATAAAGGAATTCAAGTGCTCTATGGATACAAGACAAGTAATAAATTTTTATTGAATTTGCATAGTAGAAATCACAATCACCTTGAGAAATTTAAACTTTATAACTTATCTTCTGAAGCTTTTATGAAAAAAGCTAGGCATTTAAACATACTTATTTTAGTGCACAAATATTCGGTTCTTTCCTTTTGGATTTGTCCCCCTAAGAGTTATAGGTATTTATAATATACTACTACATAAATCTTTACACAGAAAATAATTTACTACGTGATAATATTGATAATATTTACTAAAAGAAAAACTACATTGTGAATATTCTAAAACATAATATAGAGATCATACAATGTTTTATCTATAAAGTCCATAATTAGATTCTATTCTATAAAGTCCATAGTTAGATTCTATTATACTGTCATTAGAAAAAAAATATATAGATATATGAATCCTCTGACTTTTACTACTAGCAGCTTATATTTTTCAATTGCACTAGAGCCACAGTTCTCAATGGATGTTTGGGGACCATCCAAGACCCCTTATTAATAATACTAAGATATTACTTGCCTTTTTCAGACTCAGTTTCTCATAAATGCAAAGTTCAGTTTTCCCAGAGGTTACATGACATGGAATATAACAACAGAATACAGAAGCAAACACAAAAATGTAGCTATCTTCTTTCAAAACAGCAATGAAAGAGATTTACAAAAGTGCAGAACAATGCCCTCTGTAATTTTTTTTGTATTGGAAATAGTTAAATATCATTAATTTTTATGTTAATAATATAATGGGTTTATAATTATTATTTTAAAGGAATTAATATTTTTAAATGCTCAGTTTTAATTCTTAGTATGGAAGATATCAATGCATATAACATACATTGATTAAAGTTCTTTGAGTTCTCAAAAATGTTAATGTAAAGTAGTCCTGATACCAAAAAAAGAACTGAGAATCACACAAGATAGCAATTAATAATTTCTAACTAGTACCTGTAGAAAGAATAATCCTGATAACTAAAATGAAAAACCAAGACATTTTTTAGGGGATTATCATATGTTAATGTTATTTCTTAGTAGGACATTATATTAAATCGCTCTCTGGTTCTTAATAAAGTTCACCAACAACTAAAGACCTAAGGCCAACACAACATAAGATACACATAGGATTCCCATACATAATGCTGTTTTTCTTTTTCTCATCATTATGCATCCCTAGTATCACCAAAACAGAAAAGCCATTTTCAAAAGTTCTTGTCTAACTTTTAAAGTTACGTATTGCCTACATATTAAGCACATTAAGCTCTGCCCCCTGTTCTCCCAAACTCTTCTTTCCTTATTGTTTGAACCATTGTGCTGAGATCTTCTCATATATTAAACAATTTACCCATACATTACATTTACTTTCTGTCACTCCACTCAATACAATGTAAACTAAAGAAGAGGATTTTTTTTTCTTTATTCATAATGTATGAATCACCACTTACAGTAGTGCCCATAACAAAATAGGCACGGAGTAAAAATATTTATTTGTTGAATAAATTAATGAATATTCTACTGAAGTAAGATAAAAAACATTAGCATTTTATCAGGGAGGAACAAATGTCTGACCAAATTAATACTTGCAAATGGCAACAGACACAGTGCTACGTACACAAAAAAGATCCATCTAGCTGAAGGAAAAAGTCTCAGGCGAACAATTTTCTCTTCTGGACCCAGAAATGAAGAAAGAGAGGGAGATGAGAGACAAGTAAAGGAGAGGGATTTGGAAATATTCCAAAGAAGAGACGAGAAATATTTTTTCTTTCAATCCTAGGATTATACAAATACAAACAAAGAAAAATAAGAGTAAGAATAGCTAACACACCTCTCTTCTCCTGGTGTATTTCTTCCAGAAGCTGCTCTTGTCTTTCTATCTGTTCAAAAAGACACTGGAGCTCAGATTCCTTGTTTTCCGTCATATTCCTCAGTTGTTGTCTACAGAGCATCAGCTGGTGCCGCAGATTTTTTTCTCGGTTTTCTCTCTCTTTCAGTTCCTCACAGAGCCACTGAAGTTTAGTCTTAAAAAAAAAAAAAAAAAAAAAATTGTATACATCATTTTTTTATAAATCTAGAAAACAGTAACATTTCAAAAACATGAGGGAAAAGTCATGATAATCTGAACAAATACAGACAATAACAAATTTAAGCACAATAAAAAGGTACCCATAATGTTTTAATTTGATAATGGCTTACATTAGTTAAAAGTTGGTATAGAAATCAAGCCATGATTTTCGTGGATTTTTATAAGATATCTGATATTCTCTATCATCTTGGAAAGGCAATACTATGGAAAAGTTTGGTCTACTGAACTTGCAATCATAATACAATTAGCTCCCTAATGTGGTATATAAAGCAGTTAAGCATTTTTAAACTAAAAAATACCCTGTAACAAAACTACAGACTTGTCACAAAACGGAGCTTGAATTCGGAGGACCTTTTTTTTTTTTCAAAGACATCAAAAAGCATGAACTCTTGCCATTTGCAACAATGTGGATGGAAATAAAGGGTATTATGCTAAGCGAAGTAAGTCAGAGAAAGACAAATACCATATGATTTCACTCATATGTGGAATTTAAGAAGCAAAACAGATGAACATAAAGAAAGGGAAGGAAAAATAAAATAAGATGAAAATAGAGAGAGAAGCCAACCAGAAAAGATGCTGAACTCTAGGGAAAAAATGGAGGGTTGCTGGAGGGGAGGTGGTTAGGGGGATGGGGTAACTGGGTGATGGGTATTAAGGAGGGCACTTAATGTAATAAGCACTACATGTTATATGCAACTGAGGAATCACTGAATTCTACGCCTGAAACTAATAATACAGTATATAACTACATTGAATTTAAATAGACTTATAAAACAAGAAATAATAAAAACTTTTAAAAAAAGATAAAATTCTTAGTTTTGGTTCCTAAAAATTCATATCCCCAAGGGTCCAGCTAATCATGTAGAAATATTCTATACAGCATGAGGAAGATAAAGTCAGTATTTGCCCACATTTTAAAGACTAGAAAATTTAATTGAAGGAACTCTTTCACAGACTCTAACCTCACCATCTTTATTATTTAAATATTTAAATCAGAGATGGGGAGGAAAAATCTTTTCTTTCATCTTCACTAGAACAGGATGTCTGTCAGTTCTTAGGACTTTCCCAAGTGAGGCTACCCTTCAAATTTTAGTTGATTTTAAATAATCTAAAACAGTCTTTATTTCAGTAAGAAGGAAAATAAAAGAAGTAGTGGACCAAACAGGAAAATTAGGTTAAGATAAGGGATAATTTCCCTGAATATTATTCATTAGTAAGCAAGAAAGTTGCAGGCCTCCAAAATCTACAAGTTTCTCAGGATATGCCACAGTGTATTAAAATGAGCCATGATAGAAAAGTTTGTCCTATGATAAAGTAGGACTGGGAAATGGCCCCTAAACTGAGGGCTCCCCACGTATATTACCTTTCAAACACCCCCAGAACTGACCTCTGGTCAGCAGGTCTAACAGACTGTTTCTCTGAGACATAAAAAAATATCATCAGTAGTCATATTGTGGAAAAATTATACACTAATATTGTAAGAACAATTTTTGTATGTGAATGTATTAAGTGAAGGGAAATCATGCTTATAAAAGGCAAAATCTAAGCACATTTATTATAAAAGCTCATCAAAACAAAGGGAGAACTTCAGAGAAGTTCCACTTCCAGAATGAGGGCATGAAGGAGTTCTGTGAGGCTGCTCTTAAATGAAAACGTTAAAGAAGCTAGGTATCAGCAGTGGAAAGAACCACCCTGTGTGACAAAAGCTCTACTCTGTACTGCCAATAGGGCTCCCTCTTTCCCCAGTTCACAGTCAAGTTACATGGTATTGTGGCATAATAAGAAAGATATTTGGTCTTCGTTCTTAAATCTTAGCACAGAGCTCCTAAAGTCCTCAGAACTTCCAGAGTCTTAAGAATATCCTTTGTTATTCATAGCAAGCTTGGATCACATCAGAGTTCCTGCTATTTAGGTGGTTTAGGGTGGGGTCACTGGATAGCCTCAGGATGGGACTGGTGATTAGAAACTTGGAACTTTCAGCCTACCCATAAACCCCTAGGAAGTGGGGAATCAGGGGGCCACTGGAGATTAACTTCTATAAAAATTCTTTTTTTAAAAAGGATTTTATTATTTATTCATGAGAGACACACAGAGAGAGGCCAAGATAAGGGCAGAGAGAGAAGCAGGAACCCTGCTGGGAGCCTGATGTGGGACTTGATCCCAAAACCCTGGGATAATGCCCTGAGCCAAAGGCAGATAGATGCTCAACCACTGAGCCATCCAGGTGCCCCAAGTTCTATAAAAACTCTTGAACAATGAGATTTGATTAGCTTCCAGGTCAATGAACACATCACGTGCCAAGAGTGTGAAATACCCCCAAACTCTATGCAGATCTTACCCCATATAAACTCTTCATCTGGCTACCTATTTGTGTCCTTCATAAGTAAAGTGTTAACAGTAAGTAATGTATTTCCCTTAGATCTATGATCCATTACAGCAAATGACTAAACTTGAGGAGAGAGCAATGGGAATCCCTAATTTGTAGCCAGGTCAGATGGAAGTGTAGGTAACCTGGGTACCCACTACTTGTGACTGGCATCTGAATTGGGTGCAATTGGGAATGAGCCTTTAACCTATGGTATCTGTACTAACTCTGGGTAGTTCCTGTTAAGAGCTGAATTAAACGGCAGGACACCCAATTGGTATCTGTAGAGAACTAGAGAATTATCCCCTGTGGAAAACTCAAAATAGCTGGAGTCAGAAGTGCTGTGAGTAGAAACAGATCATAACAGTAGGTATTGCACTAGAAGGGCAAACCACTAGGATTCTTCATTTTCACAGCTCTGATTTGCATAGGCTAATGTCCTGGCTAGTGCAGTGGAGATACTAGGGAGTCCCTCCTCCACCAACCCCTCACTGGTAGAGTAGCCACTCTACCTCAGCCACAGCAGCCTGAGAAAACTGGGGTCCAAAGTGCCACTGCCACAGACATCTTGTAAGAATTAGGGACAAAAGTCACGTGATCATATCAAAAGGTTCAGAAAAGGTGTATGACTAAATTCAACACCTATTCACAATAATATCACTCAGCAAACTAGGAACAGAAGAGAACCTTTCAAACCTGATAAAATATATCTATGAAAAACCCATAACTATTATCATACATAACAGATAAAGACTGAAAGCTTTCTCCCTAAGATCATAAACAAGAAAAGGATGTCTGCTCTCACCACTTCTAACATTGTATTAGGAGGTTATGGCAGGGCAATTATATAGAAAAATATCAATATACATAAATTATATGTATTTCTATACACTTGCATGATCAACCCGAAAATAAAGTTAAAAAGATAAACATGTTTATTAATAACATCAAAAGAATACTTAATAACATACTTAGATACTTTGTAAAACTTACACTCTGAAAACTACAAAGCACTGTCGAAAAAAGTTTAAGAAGACCTAAAGAAATGAGAAGATGCTCCATATGTACATACATCACAAAATTTAATATCTTTAAGATAGAAAGAGTCCCCAAACTGATCTACAAATTGAAACACCTACCAAAATCCTCGCTAGCATCTTTGGGGAAATTGACAAGGTGATCTTAAATTTCATATGGATATTCGAGGGATCCAGAATAGCCAAAAACAGGTGTTGAAAACATAAACAAAGGAGTCACACTTAACTGATTTCAAAGGTATCTAGAAAGCTGTAATAATCAAGACATGTGGTACTGGCATTTAGGATAGACATAGATCAATGGAATTAAATTGAGAGTCCAGAAATAAACCCATACATATATGGTAAACTGATTTTCAACAGGGCTTCCAAAACAGTTTGTTGAGGAAAGATTAGTCTTTTAAACCAACAGTTCTGGGACTACTGAATATCCATATACAAAAGAATGAAATTGGACCCATACTTCATACCATATACAAAAATTAAATCAAAATGGATCAAAGACCTAAATGTAAAAACTAAAAGTAGCAGATTCCCAAAAGAAAGCACAGGCATAAGTCTTTGTAATCTTGGTTTGGCAATGATTTCTTAGATATGACACCAAAAGCACAAGCACTCAATGAAAAAAGCTGATAAACTGTACTTCACCAAAATTAAAAACATGTGCTTCAAAGATCACCATCAACACAGTGAAAAGACAACCCACTGAATAAAAGAAAATATTTGTAAATTATATATCTGTGAAAGAACTATTTAACATTCATAAAAAACTCAGTAATAAAAAGACAAGTTGAACAAGAGACATTTCTTCAAAGATATACAAATAGCTAATAATCACATGAAAGATGCTCAATATCAGTAACCATCACAGAAATGCAAATCAAAACCACAATGAGATTCCATTTCACACTCAGCAGGATAGCTAGAATGAAAAAGGCAGTTGATAACAACTGTTGGTGTGTGTAGAGAAATTAGAATTCTTATATAATGGTGATTAAAGAGTACTGGTGTAGCCACTTTGGAAAAACAGTCTGGCCATTCTTCAAAAGGTTAAACATAGTTACCATATAACCCAGCAATTCTAATTTAAGAGAAATGAAAACATTTGATCCAAAAAACCTTGAACCGGAATGTCCATAGCAGCATCATTCATGAGAGTCAAGAAATGGAAATAACCCCAGAAACATCAACTGATAAATGGATGAATAAAATGTGGTATATCCATATGATGGACTATTATTTAACAAGGAAATGAAATACTGATACATGCTACAATATAGATGAACCTTGAAAACATTCTGCTAAATGAAAGAAGACATTCATAAAGGACCACATGTTGTATGATTCCATTTAGAGCAATTGTCCAGAACTGGCAAATCTACAGAGATAGAAAGCAGATTACTTGTTGACCAGGGTTGTGGAGGGGATGAATAAGATCCACAGACCTGGGAGGTGATGGCTAAAGGGTCCATGTTTTCTTTTTGAAGTGATAAAATGTTCTAAAATTCATTGTGGGTATGGCCTCACACTTCT